TTCTGTTAATTCCTTTAGCGTATAATTGCTATTCTCTTTCCAAGATATTTATTATTTATGTTTATTTTCTACTTTTATACTGTGTTTTAATTTCTACATTTATAGAATGTGGCAGTGTCAAAAGGTACTATGATACCTTTAAGAAATGGGTCTCTGTGAAGAACTTTGAATCATTGTTTGGGTACTGTCATCAACATGTAGTTTTTCTGTGACCTCTGAATTATCCAAAATATTGTTATTAAAAACAAACAGCTGGGCACTGGTGGTTCATGCCTGTAATAATAGCTACTCAAGAGGCTGAGGATCGCAGTTCAGAGCCAGCCTGGGCAGGAAAGTCCATGAGACTCTTATCTCCAATAAATCACTAGAAAACTGGAAGTGGTGCAATGGCTTAAGCAGTAGAGCACTTGCCTTGAGCTAAAATGCACAGGGACAGCACCCAAGCCCAGAGTTCAAGCCCCACTTTTGACAAAAAAAGAAAAACAAAACAAAACAAAACAAAACAAAAAACAAGCCCAGCCACTCCTACCCATTAGTGCCTTCTGTGAGAAATAGCAATCTTCTAGCATCTTGTCTTCATGCTATCTATAGCTCTCACTATTCTTTTTGTTCTTGACCAAAATTTTTAAATTTATGATTCTTGCCATTTTGATAATCCTCTTTGGAGACACCCTTGCAGAGATATAAGCAGTATTATCCACTAGCCTCTTAGGTCACGGCAATCAAATCAAGTTGCTAATGAACACTAGATATCATACATTTAAACTTTATATTCATCAAATTGAGTTCATATTATACAGACAAAGAATCATTTATTAGGTAGAATGAAAGGATATTTTGTGCTGAGATTCAAATGAAGTCAAGTGAGAGTTAATGACACATTCTTTTTGTGTGGCATTACAAGGTCATCTAAGTTTTTGTTTGTATCAGCTAACTTTGAACAAGAAGGATAATCCACATCACATCTCATTTATGGTTAGTAAATGAGGCAATATTATTTTCTTATATTGAGAGGGTATCAAAAGGCCATGAACTTAGTATCCTTAGTAAGTGTTATTCTTTCTTTCTGAAGATACTACAGGCTACATGATGCACTCAGTTTATATTTATGTTGGTTTTTCTTTTCCTATATTTTGAAGTCCTCTGGCATTTCGACTAGGAAATGTAATACTTTGCTAGGATTGCCAGCACAAAGCTTCAGAGTAAGAATAGTGTCTCAGAGTACATTGTTTTCATAGATTTTTTTGTGTGTGTGACAAGTCTGAGATTATGGTGTCTACCTATTTTCTTTTGAGGTAGGGTTCTTACCTTATAGGAAACCATCTTCTGTTTTCATTGCATATGTATTTGTGTCCGTATTTCCTCTTCTTATATAGGTTCCTGTTATACTGGCATTTCATGATCATTGCATTCTTAAGGACCTTATCTCTAACTGCTCTAAGTCTATGACTAGAAGTTAACATAATAATCTGGAGAGGATTTGTACCATACCTAGGTATATGACTTATGTGTGATTTACTTTCCTTTTGAATTTTGATAACTTCTGAAATTTCTTACATACTTATATCCATAGTTGTGTGACTCTAAAAACTAGATTTCCTAGTATGATACTAAGTGAAAATTATAATCTAAAATAAAATGTATCATGTTTGAGGGACCTATGTAAAAGACAATATTTCAAAAGTGGCATTTAGTATAGTTAATATCCAGGAGAACAGGAGATGTGACCTTATTCAAATGCTTTCTAAGTTGTGAATTATAATGGAAGATATTTTTTAGGGATTTTTATTCCCCCAATGATTTCACAGGCACTTAGGGATTATCTACATCATGTTCAGTTCAAAAGAATGCAAAGCACTGTAAAGAATACAAAGAAGTACAATGCATGATCCTTGTTCTCAGGAGCTTTCATCTTCAGATAAGGAGTCAAATTAGTGCAAGTGAATTAAAGAGAAAAGGCAACAATGCAATATAGAGCATTGTGATTCTGTCTGCAGAGGACTAGATTCAAATTGAGAAGGAGTTGTCATTGTGTAGTAATGTGAAAAACATTGCTGAAGGGAACAGGTTGGTGATGTGTAGATAAAGGAGGGGAAATACATAAATAATGCAACAGTCTCAATTTTTGTTTTAGCACTAATGATGTTTTCATTTTCATTTATTCTTTTTCTGTTGGTTTACATGCTTCATGTCTGTGTCACTCACTGGAACATAGCCTTTATAAATAAAGCAGTTGTCTTACTTGTGTTATCTGTCCCTTTCTTACCTTTTACAATATAGTATTTTATAAGGAACATATTCTCAGATTAGTGCATTTTCTGGGGCTGATAATAGCAAATAACATGTTCACGGTAATTTTTAACAAAAGTAGGCTTACCAGAGTGGATAGGCTGAACTAACGATGGCTTTCACAATGGCAGACTCCTCACCGGGTAAAAGACATTGTAATACATGATATAAGGAATATATATACATATATATATATATATACACATATACATATGTATGTATGTGTGAGTATGTGCATATTTTTAGTCTGTCTTCTTTCTTGAGAGGTCATCCATGGGTACTCCATATTTAGATTTAGGATATCATCTCCCCTTCCAAATGTCCTGCCTTTAAACATCATCATCAGTTTAAGCTTCCTTACTTCTATAACTCAAAATCCAGATTATATTTCAACAAATAAAACTCTGGAGTATACCCTCAAACTATATCCTTATAGTAGAAATGCCCAATGTTAACAGAGAAAGCCCATAATGAATGGTGTGAGTTAGTAAGACAGGAAGATTGAGAAGTTTCATGAGGAAGAATATATTCATCATAGGTAGAACTTAAAAAAATTAAATTTGAATTTTCTTAATAGAAATAGATGTAATCAAAAATATTTTATACCAGAGTACAGAAATCTGGAATTATTTTTCCAGTTTACTTGTGGTCTTTTTTTGTTGGTCACTATTGAGATACATCTTGCCCCACTCTACTAGGTAAAATTAGGCTCTTCACAAGCAAATGATGCTTTAGGTACAGTCTTAAAGAAAGTGATTATTAGGATTTAGTTCTTTCTAGTATTTATTTATCAACACTGTACCATTTTTTCAGACTATAACCTGTTATCCTAAGTATGTTTATTTGTCACATGACATATTTTGTGCTAATTTTAAGAGCTCTGTCCACCTAAAATTTTCAGGTAGAATTGGGTAATGGGTAATTTATTTTGCCCATGAGGTAGTCACAGGAGGCCTGGAATTGTTATAGTTTTCTGAAAATTAGTTTTCTTTATCAGGATTAAAGAATGATGTTGACTAAGCCACAAGAATATATGTTATTGGTTAACTACTTCCAGGTTGGCTACATCCAATGATTCATCTTCTTCTTCTTTTTTTTGCGGGGGGGTCTGGTCGTGGGGCCTGAACTCTTGGCCTGGGCGCTGTCCCTCACCTCTTCAGCTCAAGGCTAGTGCTCTACCACTTGAGCCACAGCGCCACTTCCGGCTTTTTTCTTTTTGCTTACCTGGTACTGAGGAATCGAACCCAGGGCCTCGAGCATGCAAGGCAAGCACTCTACCACTGAGCCACCTTCCCAGTCCCTTCTTCTTCTTCTTCTTCTTCTTTTTTTTTTTAGCCATGTTACTTTAGGTATTAGTTAAGTGAAATATGAGGATTTACGCAGAGTTCAATCTTATAAGTCATCAATCCATGTTGCTCCCTTTAATTTTAACATCACATAGTTTATGCCCTATCCCCACTGGATTAAGATAAGCTAAAGAGAATACTGATTCCCTGAATGGTGGTTTCAATTAGAGTGATCAAAGTATCCAAGATTCCAAGTGCTATGAATTTGAACCTTTCTCAATAATCTATGTCCCAGTGGTTACTGGGGCTAAAATATATGAATGAGATATATTGAATTAGTTTGAAAACTAAAAACCCACTCAACACTTTCTTTTTCTTGAATAAGTGATATCTGCCCAGCTATTTTGTTGGATTTTGCAATATCATAAATATAGTATGTTACTACTATCCACAAGTAGACCCTTGATATTTATGCTTATGTGCTTACAAGTAGCAGCCATTGAGGAATAATTCTAAGTACTTAGAATGAGTTGAGTTTAGTACAATACTGAGAATTTTCTTATTAGGCCACCCAACTTCCATGCTGCTTTCAACAAATTTTTTGCGTGTATGTATGTGTGTGTAAGTGTACGTGTGTGTGTGTGTGAGAGAGAGAGAGAGAGAGAGAGAGAGGGAGAGAGAGACAGAGAGAGAGAGAGAGAGATTTGTAATCAAGGCCATGTACAAGTGCTCCAGTTGAACAGGGCCTTTCCTCAACTAATATATTTTTGCTCTTAAGTGAATTCTAGTACATCCTAAGTTCTTTTGACTTGAACTGTCATCATAACTTTAGAAGGATTATCAGTACCTTGCTTTTGGAGCATCATTTTCATTTGGAGAAACATAGAAAATTAAGGAAACACTGGGAAGATCATACAATGACAATACAACCACCAATACTGCAGGGTTGACTGAGAACTGTTCTGCATCAGCTATACTGTGTAATGTTCTATGGAACTAAAAGATTTTACCTTTGAAATGTATTTTTTGTTTTCAAAGTTTATTATCACCTTTGACTCTTTTTGACCAAAACCATAATAAATCCACAAAATTATGATAAGCAAAATTATGTATATAAAAGGTAAAACTCCTTATTACATGCTAGGAAAAGGCTTTTATTTACAACAAGGTACTATTTATATGCTATATAATTTTTAGTAAAATCCAAAGATAAATGAAGAGTGTCTTATTGAAAATGGAAGAGAAAATTTTGAACAATTAAAGTCACTGTGATTTGCCTTGTTAAACATCAAAATTATTTCAGTGTTTCCATTAGAAACTTGTCACAAATATAACAAAAGAAGTCAAGAAGCATAACAATTAATAACTTTCAATTTTATTAGTAAAATGATTTTCTTCTTCATTAAAAATATTCTTGTTTTGTAGATAAGAAGCTCTGGTGGGCAGATCAAAACTTAGCACAATTGGGAACCTGTAGCAAAAGAGATGGGAGGAATCCAACCATCCTACGAAATAAGACTTCTGGTGTGGTTCACATGAAAGTGTATGACAAAGACGCACAAAAAGGTATGCTTCACCATAGTAAGTTAATACCATAGTTTGAATATATAATACCCTCTTTCTTTATGCTATTTTCATGCCTAACAGCACAAGGTTCTTGTTCTTGCTTTTAATAAAAGGAAAGAAAATTGCTGCTTAGTATTGGAGAACTATCTTTAATATAAGGTCCATAAAGAGCTTTCCAACATTGGCAGAACTGCCTAGGCATCTTACTTTGTTAGATCTTCAAAGAAGTTTTATCCAGTACTTGACCAAATAGTTTATGAATAACAAACAATATCCCAGGAAAATACATTTAGTGTATGTTTAAGTTTGGAAACTGGATGAATTGTGGAACTTCAAGTGGACAATGTAGAAACAATTTCATGTCCCAAACCACGACATTGTTTGGCTCTGTGTGCCACTTTTTTGTTTTGCTTGTGCAGTGAAATGGAGTGCGAGAACTAACAGATGGTTTGCATAGGTGGACTTGTCATGCTGCCCAAATGGCAATTGGATTAAAGATGACAGCCAGGGCTGCTGCACACCTGCTAGTCCTTTCTTAGTTTTTGCTTCATGATCCATGATATTAGTAAAAATCTCTCCCTCAAAGAAATCTTTCCTGTATTTCACTACCTTATTTTAGCTTCTGCCATGAAAATCTGGCTACATATTCACTTGCCTTAGGGAAGGGAAAAAAATCTCTTTAGACACTAGGAAGAGATTTTCATGTGAAAGATGAAGATGCTTAAGCCAAAGAAGACAATTGTAAGGTAAAGAGAAGAACGGAATGACCATGTCATAAGCAGGTGACACCCTCAAACAGGAAGGGTTTTCTGGTGATTCCAGCTGAGGGTCTGCCCACACAAATGGCATGAAGTTGAAACCATTATCATGTGAGCATGTCCCGTGGAGAGCACAGGCTATATTTTGTTCTGAAATCCTTACGTTTGAGGCACAGAAGGACTTTTTTGTTTTTTGTTAATAAGAAAACTAAACTGAAAATTATCATTTAAAGACTTAGCTTAAAAAAGGTTACTAGGTTTTATTCCTGAGAAGCTACCACCACCAGATCTTTAGTGCACAAATCTCTATTCCTTTTTGGACATTTTGAAGCTTTAACTTTGGAATCATGATTGAAGTATTGTTTTTTGTTTGTTTGTTTGTTTGTTTGTCAGTCGTGGGGCTTGAACTCTGGCCTTGGGCGCTGTCCCTGCGCTTTTCAGCTCAAGGCGAGTGCTCTACCGCTTGAGCCACAGCGCCACTTCCTCATGGTTGGAGTATTGTAACTAACCACTCCACAATACATTTTCTGTATCAAATGGGTAAGGCAAAGGATGAACCAATGCAACTGCAATATTCACAAGACTATGTTGGAAATGAACTTTACAACTTGTGGGGAGAAGGGTGTCGGGAGTGAGGGAAAGCAAGAAAAAATGAGGAAGAAATAGTGTTAGACAAAACTGTGCTCATTTCCATCTTTATGTAACTGTAACCCTTCTGTACATCACCATTACAATAATGATATTTTGTAAAACAACAAAATGAGTTAGACTGGATGTTAAGCTCAATGATTTAGTACTTGCTAACTAGAAAGAGATCTTGGTTTTAATCCCAAAGATATAGCAAATACATAATAAATACATAATTTTACTAGCATTCACTCACATGTAATATATGATATAATTCCACATAAACTACTGGTATTCAGTAAATAAAATATAGTAATCTCTTTTTATGGATTTTCAATATATTTGTTAAACAACAAAATTGAAATTTGTAAATCACTTCAGATTGATTATGAAGAAGTTGGAAAATATAACACACAAATATATAGAGAGATGTTTAAGTCTAAGCTTATGTGATTCTATCTAAAAACATATTAGACAGAGACAGAGTGAGAAAATACATTTTCAATTTAAGCAGAGCAATTAAAAAATACAGAACAACCTTTCAAAAACATGAACAAGTATGTACATTCTTTGAAACTATAAATGAATGTTTCAAGGCATAGTTTTAATGAAGTACTTGTAAGGAAATATTTAATGTCTCTTTATTATTCTTGACTCTGCTCTCATTAGCACAATTTTCTTTATCTTAAATATTTGACCCTGATGGTATAATTGGGTATTCTCTACAAAAGTACACTACAAAAGTATCATCAAACACATGAGAATATCTAGTACTTAAAAATTAATGATGTACTTTTATAAAAATATAATAATGGAACCTATTAAGATTGGTTTTAGAAGTGGGGAAGGGGAGGATGAATAGTCACAAAGAAAAATGTGATCAAAATATGCTGTATACCTATATGAATATAAAAAAGCATTTTTTACAACTAATACATGCTACTAAAAATGTTAAAAATGTAAGCAAAACAATAAAAAAGAAAAAATGGCATTATACATCAACCTTAAGATGCAGGGAAAAAGCCATTTTATGAATAGAATATGCTGATAAAAACATCAGTATTTATGACAATCCCATTAGCAGAATCATCACAAGTAGTTTTAAAGCTTCATTAGTATGAAATATGAGTAATTTAGGAGTCTTTAAGGTGTTACCTTTACTATCTCTTTTGATTTCAAGCTACAATTAGCTACTTCATTTATCATTTTTGACAGAGATCACTGGAGAGTTGAGACTTCTTGTTAGTCAAGTGGACTTTTTAACTCCAACAGTCATCTGAGGAATGAGTGTTGGATAATAATAGCATTACAAAATATTATTAATATTTCCAAATATAAAGTTAATCACAACATAATGATTAAAATCACAATATACATATAAACAGATAAAAATACAATTAAGTCCATTTATTTATATATATAATCCACTGTTTCCTCTTAGACTATTTAAATATATATATTGTTAGTGTTCCACATAACTGTTAAAGTGCTAATTTTATTTTTATCAACAAATAAATATAATAAAATATATTATTAGCTTTGTAATTGTATTAGTTTTGGTACTATCAAGGAAAATAAAACCTCTCAACTATTAAGACTTTAAAATGTTTAAATATTTAAAACATTATAACTTTTTTTTGGGGGGTCAGTCATGGGGCCTGAACTCTGGGTCTAGGCGCTGTCCCCTCAGCTCTTCAGCTCAAGGCTAGTGCTCTACCACTTGAGCCACAGCACCACTTCCGGCTTTTTTTTCTGCTTATGTGGTGCTGAGGAATCAAACCTAGGACCTCATGCATGTAAGGTGAGCACTGTACCAAGCCACCTTCCCAGCCCCCATTCTAATTGTTTTAAATATATTAATCTTCTATTTTTAAAAAATTGTATCCTGTCCTTTAACCTAGTTTTATTTCATTTTTTTTCTTTCTCCTCCTTACGTGGTAATCCCTAAACTTGATATTAGATAACCAATTAATGACTTTTTTCCAATTTTTCAGTCTTGGGTGGTACTAAAAATAAATATGTTTCTAAACCTATGCCTCTATAGAATGACATTGTTTTAGCCTACACCAACATGCTTTCTATAAAATAAAATATGTGCTTGCTCAGTATGGAATTTTTGCACACTTACTGATATAAATGTTTCATCATTAAAACTATCAGAGATTTGAAATATCATCTTAATTCATCTTGGGAAGAGGGAGAATGAGTCAATTAATCTTCATTAGTTTATATAGGAGATGAATGTATTCATTTAAAAGGTTCAGGTTGCTTAAGATGGAGTTCAATATTAGCAGGAAATGAGCAGAGAATATCAGAGGTCTTTTGACAACAAATCTCTCAAATTGAGAAAATCTTATGCTTCAAAAATGACACAACTCATGACAGTTTCTATTGAACAGTGAAGTCCTGCTAGACTATCTTTAATTCAGAAGATGAGAAATAATGTACTACACTGGTATTTTGAATTTTCCATAGAGCACTATTGATGTATAACTTTCACCATGCTTTTAATTCTCACTGGATTTGCTGCACTTTGTATCAGATCTTAAAAATCCACCAAATAGCATCGCATGTCCTAGAAGAATAAAATTCTAAAGATGAGACATTTAATGAACTTTCTGGGTAAGATTATAAATTACCTATCTTCATGCTAGCTGCTTTAATTAGCACACAGGGCCTAGTAAATTCAGTGGAACATCTTTATAGAATGCCTACCAGTGATTACAAGACTGATATTTGTCATTGCTACTGTGTAAGAATAAGAAGAATTAACATACCGATTAATAAGATCACCCTTATGGGTGTGTTTTTAATACATTTTTAGAGAATTATGTTCCTATAAATGGGAACATTTATTTCTCTGTCTTTTAAAATAAATTAAGTACATATACCCACTTTATTTTAGTGGCATTATCTTTGAGTTAAGTTGGTAACGTAATTTAACAGCTATTTATGTGACATTTGTGAATAAAATATTTTTGCAAAAAAATACAGAGAAAAGTGAAGTTTAAGAATCAAACAGAAACATGTCCTCATTTCTCTGATTTAAAAATATTTCAACTTTATGACAGTATTCATAACAAATCAAAGTCTTTTGCACTTCTTTAACTGGGCGTCTTCTGTTTCTGTTTACTTTTTAGAAGGGTAAAATTGACTGATAATTTGCTACTTTTCACTATGTTTGGAAATAAAATGTGATTATAGTCAATGTGAACCAGTTGCATTTGCATATGAATAACTAGTTCTTCACCCATTGATAGAATAAAATTATCTTCCTTAATTTTACATTTCTTTAAAAACATTATATATTTCTTTTTGCAGGCAGTAATTCTTGTCACCTCAATAATGGTGGATGCTCTCAGCTTTGCTTACCAACATCTGAAACAACCAGGACTTGTATGTGTACTGTGGGATACTACCTCCAAAAGAACCGCATGTCATGCCAAGGTATGCATGCAAAAAACAAAAACCAAAAACCAAAAACAAAACTTTAGTTCTTGCTCAGTTACTTCATTATGTGGTATCGTATAATATGTTAGACTACCAAAATATGTTAAAATTTAGGGGGAAAATTGTTGCTAAGGCAACTGAAAAATTAAATGAAAGATTATTAGACTTTGCTAGAGAATCACACAGACATGCATGTACAGAGAACAAAGAAAGGTTTATTGCAAGAAAGAGGGCCAGCAAGACTCCTCACAAGGGAGAAGTGAGAAGAAGCACCAGCTATTGTCTCAAGTGACCTATATGACCTAGGGTGGTGAGGAGAGGCTAGAAGTGGCTAGTAGTTGGAGACCCTGGTTTGGACGTGTGGGCCAGGGGCTTCATCATGGTGGACTAGAATTTGTGGCTGCTGTCCAAATAGTAGATAAGGGGTCCTGCAGCTGCCCAGACCTGAAGGTTACTCTAAGGGGATCTTACTACCTTATATGGTGGCAGCTGCCCCAGAGAAGTGCCATTCCAAGGTAAAGGGAGTGGGAAGTTGATTATTTACTTCCTTTATTACATAGGCCTAATGTTGCCTCCGTAGGGAGCAAGCTAAGCTATGGAGAAGGGAAGAGTGGACCAAGCTATGGGAAAGGAGGTCATTTTGCTAACATTCAGTTTTAACATAGTTAAATACATGTACAACTTTATGGTGGCTGATAATGTTGAAGTATTGTTGTTTATTTTAATAAACTGAAGATAATTAACTACAGTTTATGTTTTAACATGTATTCAAATCTAATAGCTTCTACATTCAACCTGAAAAAGCAAAATTTGAAGTGGAAAAACAGTTATTTTTAGTGAATTGAGATCAGTGTGTAACCTGATGTTAGGTATGTTACTTGTCACTATTTTAGAGAAACAGGAGAGTTTGTGAGGACTTAGCTTAACACGGCAGAGGGAGAAGAGAATTCTGGAATATAACTGTATACAAAGATATCTGTCTACTGTTTCTAATAGCAGAGTTTCTAGTTCTATTAATTCAAAATAACCTTAGTCAATGCATGATCATTTATATCCACTGATCATGATATATTCATACACATATAATAAATAATATGTACTTATAACATATATTTATATTATATATTTTCTTGATATATATGAGCATATACATTCTACAATATAAATTTTACTATATATAATATAATATAAAATAATTGGACAATAAAATTATAAAGTCAATAATTGAGAAATATATACATCATTATTGCCACTTAATTAATTTTATATAAATATTTGGTGTTATTTTTCTTTGCCAGGCTATCCATTAAGCATCTTAAAATATTAATTCTCTTGACAGTCATAAAATTATGAGCTAGATCTGTATAATCTACACTTTTTATTTTTTCCTTGTTTTGTTGTGGGGCTTGAACTCTGGGCCTGGATGCTGTCCTTGAGCTATTTGGCTCAAGGAGAGTGCTGTATCATTTGAAACACAGTGCCATTTCCTGTTTTCTGGTGGGCAAATGGAGATAAGAGTCTCACAGGCTTTCCTGCCTGGGCTGGTTTTGATCTGTGATCTTCAGATTTCAGCCTTCTGAGTAGCTAGGATTACAGGCATGTGCCACCAGTACCCAACTGAATCATCTAAATTTTATAAATGAGAACAGTGAGATGAATAGAAATTAAACAAATAGCACACCCAAATCACATGATTAGAAAATGGTGGAAACATTTACCTCTAGTCATTTTGATTATATAATTATTTTCAACCATGTTAGGTTTGTAAGCATTAACATGGGCATTTTCTGATATTAAACCCATATTTATGAGCTTGATTTATATCATATCTATGATGTTGCAAAAGTATGATATTGAAACAAAAGTTAATATTTGTAATGCCGTTTCCCCTCCAATTTAGGTATAGAATCATTTCTTATGTACTCTGTTCATGAAGGAATTAGAGGAATACCTCTTGAACCAAGTGACAAAATGGATGCCTTGATGCCAATCTCAGGAACTTCATTTGCTGTGGGAATAGATTTCCACGCAGGTAAATAGCTTTCTATTCATATACAATGATTCATGTACAGTGTTTACTTGATTTATTAAACACAATGGAAATTTAACTTCTCTCTGTACTTTGACAGTCAAGATAAAAGAATAAGAAAATGAGTTATAGATGAAAATTTAACCTTATCATGAACTATTCTCATTATGCATTGCCAGAAATAAAGACATGAGACAAAATATGACATGGTTGTAAATGGTGACATTTGGGAGGAGCAAGTACAAATGAGAAGAACAAGGAGAAAGGAGAGGATGTCAAGGAACATAGGTTTGATAGAACAACATTTATATGTACATGCATAAAGAGAGCACATGTCTTTAAACATAGCATAATAAAGCCCAGCAAAGTATGTCTTTAAAGAGAGGGAAAGGGGAAAAGAGTACAAAGCAGTAATAGAAACGGGATGAACTTGACCAAAGTATATTACAAACATGTCTATATATCACATTGAAATCTCTTAATTTAGACTTACTAAAATTCTCTACTTTTTTCAGATGATGATTTCTATGTATTTAAAGCTATATAAACAACTTTGAATTATTGTCACTAAAATTAGATTCATTTAAATATTTAAGTATGTAATTATCATTTTAATATAGGCAATAAATCAAATATAACATAAATATTATAAATACAAAACCATTTCAAGTGATTTTATCAATACTGTATGTGTCAGTTTGGCATGAGAGTTTTACCCTTTGCTCTTTAACAAACTAAAATAAACCAAACTAGACCTGTCTTAATGTGATTATAAAATATGATAATCAGTAAATAACTAGAAATTCATAGTAGACAATGTGGAATAAATACATATAAATGTTTTGTAATAATTGCTAACTTCAAAAACAACATAAACATATGCACAATTTTTTTCTATATTTTTATTTTTGTGCCAAAAGTAAGGCAAAAACTTGGGCCTTGAGCTTTGCTTACTTTTTTCACTAAGAAGTATCACTCTACCACTTAAACCATGCCTCCATATCTATTTTTTGAGGGTTTTGAAATAAGTTTCTCTTAGATTCATCTTGCTTTGAGCCTGCTATTCAGATTTCAGACACTTGAGTAGCTAGGATTACAGAAATGAGCCACTGTCATCATTTTTATCACATTATTTAAATTTATTATTCTACATTCAGAGAATAAACTCATACAAACAAATCTTTCTATGTCTCCTTTTACTTCAAATAATAGTTTCCTGAGCTAATGCTATCTTATTGAATGTGTATTTTCATACACATTCTCAGTATTACTATACTTGTAAAAACGTAATCTAATATTACAAAGCAAGTAACTTACTGGTGTATAATATTAAAAATAATAATGTTCATATTAAAAATCACCTGTACTAATCAGTTGAGGTGTTTTAGATACCATTCACATTTTTTCTCCAAACTGAAATAGATTTTGCTTAAATGTACATAAGTATGGTTTATGACTGCAAATAATTATTAAGAATTTCAAAATTATTTGAAGATAATCTTTTTTAAGTAAGATGTATTCCTCCGCATATATGAATTACATAGAAGCGAACTTCTGACATTGTAAAAAGGGCCTTTTCCCAGAATAATTCAGATAAATGTTCATAGTACAAACAATATGATAATTTTCTAAAATCATAGTATAATTTTAGATAATCTTTAATTATTCATAGGAAGTTGATTACAAATTCATAATCTATTCTGCATTTTATATACATAAAATATGTTCTTTAAAATTTCATCATATATTTATCATGTACATAAATAAAAACTGTGGCCTTCTTAAATTTTATATGTATATAAAGAGATTTGCTTACCTTGTAGTCTCTTCTTTTTTTGTCTCATACCTTGTATTTTATTCTTTCAAAAACTCTATAATAACCTTTGTCTGGAAGTGGTAATGAACTCCTGCCCAGAAAGAATATGATAGATGGATCCCATCTCAAAAACAAGCTGGATTGAGTGTTGCATATGTATTCAATGGAGGGATATGTTGTATATGTATTCATAGGCAGAGATAGATGGTTCCGTGTCTGAGATTATCATGAAGGAATTTGACAGATCTATCTGAAATGTAAACAAGCCAAAAGGAGCAAGGGGCATGCCTCAAGTGGTAGAGCATATTTTGCCTAGCAAATAGGAGGCCTTGAGTTTAAACTGGTATACTACTAAAATACAACTCCTAAGGGCAAAACTCCATACTCATCTTTGAAAATATCTGAGAAATGTCTATGAATAAATATGAAGGAAGGATGTGGAGCTGTGGCTCAAGTGGTAGAGTGCTGACCTTAGTTGAAGAGCTCAGGGACAGTCCCCAGGCCCAGAGTTCAAGCCCCATGACCAACAAAAAAGAAAGAAAGAAAGAAAGAAGGGAGGGAGGGAGGGAGAAAGGGAAGGAAGGAAGGAAGGAGAGAGTAATTTGTTCTTAATACATGGGAAAATACTTTTTTTTTTCCTTAAAGGTAAACCTATTTGTTGTATAAGTCAAATTCACTTTCTTAGATTTTATTTTGACCCTGATATGGTTAGGTGTAATATAATAACAATAATAGAAATAATGTTATTATTAAAGAACCATAGACTACTTGTGCAACAATACTTAGTAACACCATGAATTATTGTCTTATAAGAGTAAGTTTTCTTTAGGAAGAACTTGCAACTTTCACTAAAATTTTTCATTTTTCATGTTGTATCTATTGTGTGTTTAATTTTTATTCATAGGAAAATATTTTGAAAATCTTGTAGTACTAAATACAGGAAAACACTAACCATATACACTAGATAGGCCAGTGCAATGTGCAAAAATCTATTAATATCTCTAACAATAATCAAAATATAAATACAAATCTATCTTTAAACCAAAGAAAGGCAGACTAGCAATAGACACAGTGAGTACAGTTCAGAATTCAACAAAAGAAAACTTAGAATCTAATGCTGTATTGCTTTCATATCCTTGGTTTGTGATCTCAAGTATGTTATGTAATTTTCATGAGGTTCGGTTTTCTTAATTTTATATCTGATACATATCCATACATATGTACATACAAATATATATGCATATGTATATATTCATGTATATATGTATGTATATATAGTGTACATGTTTGTATATATCATTTATTTTTTATTGTGAAAATAGTGTACAGAGGGGTTACAATTACATGGGCAAGATAATGAGTACATTTCTTATCAAGCATTGTAGTCTCCTCCTTTGTTTCCCCTTCCCATCCCTTCCCATCCTCCCCCCCGCCCCCAATTCTCCCTGCCCACCCCCACCAAAGTTGTAAGTTC